CGCCCCCCCCCCCCATCTCTCCGCTGGTCTGCCCACTATCTCTCTCGCTCGGGCTTGGGCTGGTCTGCTTGGGCTTGGCTTGCTTGGGCTTGGTGGCTGGCTGGCTGGCTGGTTCTCGGTTCTCGGGCTTGGTGGCTGGTTCTCGGGCTTGGTGGAACCCTCACGTGCATGATGGGTGGCATATCGTTGATGTCGGCCGTCCTGGACCTGGACCGTGACCCCCCCTGTGTTGGCATGCAATGCTCTGCCTGTGGCGCAACCGCAACAGACGTTCACGGCATGGGTCAACTCGTATCTGCGCAAGACGGGTGAGCGGATGGACGACATTGCCCAGTTTGCCGACGGGTTGACGCTCATCACGTTTGTGCGTAATCTGACAGGCGAGGACGTCAACGGCGGCAAGTACAAGACGTCGCCGCGGATCCGGATCCAGATTGTAGAAAACATCCAGCTGGCGCTCAAGCACATTGAGGACCGCGGGATCCGGGTGACGTGCGATCCCGACAACTTTCTTGTCACCTCGGCCACAGACGTCCGCATGGTCCTCGGCTTCCTTTGGCTCCTTATCTGCAAGTACCAGATCAATGCCATTGCCGAAGACTCTGTGGCGGCAGCGGCATCGCGGGCAGCAGCTGCGTCGACGTCGTCTTCGGCGCCGACATCGCTCGCCGACCGCATGGCGCGGCGGCGCTCGCGCCAGCTCCGAAACTCGTCATCGTCGTCGTCTGAGGGCCGCTCGTCAGGCACGTCGGGCGGCCTGGCAGTCCCGCGCGTCGGCGAGCGTGCCGTCTCGCTCTCACAGTCGATGGCCGGTACGCAGAGCCTGCTCCAGTGGGTGGCGTCTGAGCTCAAGGCGTACTCGATCACCGTGACGAACTTTGGCTCATGCTTCCAGGATGGGCGTGCTTTCTGCGCCCTCACCGAGCTTGCTGCGGGCGCCGATGCCTTTAACTATGCCGGCATGTCGTTGGACGACCCGGTCCGTTCCATGTCCAATGCCTTTGCCACCGCCGACATGGAGCTCGACATTCCGCAGCTCCTGGTGCCCGAGGCAGTCGTCAAGGCGCCCGATCCGCACTCGATCATGACGTACGTCTCATACTTTCGGGCGCACCTTGCCGGCAAGCGCGCTGCCGAGCGGACGGCCAAGATCGAGGCCGCCAACGCAGCGCTGGCCGCTGAGGACGAGGCCGAGGCCAAGGCGTCGGCTATCACTACGTTCTCCATCTCGGTGGAGGACACCGATGCACACGCCGCGGTTGCGGCGGCAGCACCCGACGCACCGACGACAGCACCCGTGTCTGCAGCACCAAGCAACGGTGGGCGCATGTACACGCAGGCCGAGCTCGACGCCAAGGTCGCCGCCGCCGTCGAGGCGCACAAGACCTCGGCGGCGGCGTCGGCGGCCATGGCAGCGCAGGAGGCGCGGCAGGTCCAGATGGACCTGCTCTCAGAGAAGGAGCGCATGTCAAAGCGGATTGAGGAGCTGATGGTGGCGCTGCGGGCCGAGCAGGCCGCGCACGTGGCGTCGAACAACGAGGCCGGCGCGACGCTCAAGGAGCTGCGGGCTCAGGTGACCGCAGCCAAGGCGGCGGCCGAGCCGCTAGCAGCCACCAACACACAGCTCGAGAACAAGCTCTCAGAGACGGCGACAAAGGCGGCTGGCTTCAAGGAATCGCTCAAGGTGGTGGAGAAGGCGCTCGAGTCCAAGACGCGTGACGCCAACGCAGCACACCTCAAGCTCATCGACGTCGAGGCCGAGCTCGAGGCCGCGCTAGAAAAGATTGCCACTCTCGAGTCGCAGAACTCGGACATGTCCGCCGAGCTCTCGCAGTCGCAGTCGGCCATCTCGATGGCCAAGGCCGAGTCCAAGAAGCTCGCGGCGACGTCGCAGCTCACGTTGCAAGAGGCACACTTGCGGATCAACGAGCTCGAGGCCTCGCTCGAGCAGTACCGCACGGCACTCGTGGACAAGTCCAAGTCGCGCAAAGCACTCAAGGAGGCGCTCATCGCCGAGCGCAAGAAGAACTCTGAGCTTGCTGGCGACGTCGAGGCCATCCGCACCGCCGCCGAAAAGTATCGCGCCAAGCTCAAGGTCTCCAAGAAGCTGCTCAAGGTTGCCCAGGAGAAGGCCAACTCGGTCAAGGCCAAGAACCGACTGCTCGGCGACCGCCTGATGGAGGTCAAGACCAAGAACAAGGAGGAGAAGCGCAAGGCTAAGGAGAACGAGATCAAGACCATTGCCGCCCGCGAGGTCAAGGTCAAGGGCGCCGTCATGGGCGAGCTCGAGCGTCAGCGCATGGAGCTCATCAAGCGCCTCGCCCAGGCCAAGTACCAGCGCTCGGCAACGCCGACCAACACCAACTCGGGCAAGCCCGGCTCCCGCCCCGGCTCCCGTCGCTCCTCCGTCGCCAACGCAGGCGTCCTTCCCGTCACCCCCTCTTCCGAGCCTCGGCGGCGCTCGTTGTTGTCTCCTCAGGATTGAAGTAGGCCATCAGCCCGGCGGCCGCATGCCAGAACAGAAGCGAGTGCGAGTGGGCGCGGCAGGAGAGGCAACTCGACTCGGACACCGGTACGGGCAGAGTAGAGGCGAGGAGAGGAGGAGAGCGAGTTGCTGGCCAGGGACCAACAGACGGCGAGCGGCGAGGCGAACAGAGCAGCGGCGAAGGGCACAGCTTGGAGTATTCGGCGTGGGAGTCTGCGGCCGCAGGCAGTCGCGCGAGTTGTGCCGTCGACCGACCGGGCGAGCGACATCACACATCGACCTGACGAGCAACAGCTCGAGCAGTTGGAGTTTGGACAGGCTAGCGGCGCCAGGCAAGCAGAGATTGACCACGTAATCGACCGAAGCATTCGCTGATCCGCGGACTTGGCGGCCATCATGGGCAGCAGCACGAGCAAGGAGGCCAAGGCCAGTGAGCGGGCGGTGAAGGCGGCGGTCAAGGCCGGGAAGGAGACGGGAAAGCTCCATTGTCAGGGGCTCGGGCTCGAGGTGCTGAGCGAGAAGAGTCTCATCAAGGCCGTACGTACCTGCAAGGTGCCCGTCACAGAGCTATGGCTACAGGATAACGCGCTGACCGCGCTGCCGGACTCGCTGGCTCTGATGGCTGACCTGCAGCTGCTGTATTTGGCCAACAACGCGCTTGTTGAGCTCTCGGATGACGTCGCGGAGGCTCTGATTGCGATGCAGGAGCTCAACGTGTCGGGCAACCCAGAGCTGGCGGCGTTGCCTGCGGCCTGGTCGGGCTACACCGACTTGCGCCAGCTGTATCTCAACGATCTGCCGCTGCTGGCTGCATTGCCTCCGGCGCCGGCATGGCCGCGGCTTGTTGTCCTGCATGTGTGCGGGACGGCGGTCACCGCCCTGCCGGCCGAGTTGCGCGATTGCGTTGCGCTGGCCCACATCGCCATCAACGGCAACAAACAGCTCGCAGCCTTGCCCGACGATCTATTCGCGAGTTGGGCTGCGTGCGAAAAGCTCTTTCTGATGGACAACGCGTTGGCAGCGGTTCCGGACTCGATCGGCGCCATGACCTCGCTCCAGAAGCTGTACCTCTCGGACAATGCCATCGCCGAGCTGCCGGATGCCGTCGGCAACCTTGTCGCATTGGAAGAGCTCTACATCAACAACAATGCACTCTCTGCGCTTCCAGCAAGCCTCGCGGAGCTGCCGATGCTCAACAAGGTGTACGCCAACGGCAACGAGCTGACTCTGCTCCCTCAGCCGCCGCTCGGTTCAGCGCTTGAGATCCTCTCGCTCAACGATAACCGCATCGCGAGCGTCGACGGCTACCCTTGGGCCGAATCCCATCCAGAGCTCAAGTTTCTTCATCTCGCCCGCAACGCACTCACCCACCTGCCGCCTGTCTTTGCCGCCCTCGCCCAGCTGCGAGTGTGCGAGGTGGACGGCAACCCGGCGGTCGAGACCCAGCCCGATCTGATTGCCCGCATCGCTGCTGGCCTCGTCCGCGGATGGTCTTTTGGCGTCGAGAACCAAGACTCCCCGCACTCGGGCTCGGGCGAGAGCAGCGAGAGCGGTGACGATGGTGAGAGCAGTGACGACGGTGAGAGTATCGAGGGCGATGAGCACATCGATGCTGATGCTCCTCCGACCGCCGCCTCCACACACAACAATGGCCAGAAGTCTTTCTCCTCCTCCTCCTCCTCCTCGTCATCCTCGTCGTCGTCGTCTTAGCTCTCAGTCGACAGGAAGCAGCACACTCCTTGATGACGGCGTGAGAGCTGCGAGTGTGGTGGTAAAGTGGTTACAGTAGGGTTTAACGCCGCGAGGGGCGAATGAGAGGTTTGGGCCGGCCGGTGTGTGATGGGGGGAGGGTAGGAGGAGGAACAGCATAGGCTTGGCGCGCTAGGCCTTGAACGAGACCATGGTGTCGACCTTGTGGATCTGGGTGGTGAAGGAGCGGAGACGGACCTCCTCCGAGTTGGCGATGTACTTGGGATCGGACTCCTCCCATGCGAGCGGGACGGCGAGGTCGTTGTCGGTGTAGACGAGCAGATCAAAGGTGCACGCCTCCTCGAGCATGGGCAGGAAGGTGACCGAGGCGGTGATCTGGCGGATGATGGCCTGGATCTCGCCCTTGACCTCCTTGTCCGGACGGGCCTCGACTGTGGCGCCGTCGTCGACGGCCTTGTCGGCCTCGATGTCAAACGTCCACCGCTCGAGCACTTCGTTGGTGGCTACCGAGGTGATGACAAGGACCAGCTTCTGCACACAGTGGCCAAGCAGCCAGTCTGGACGGGGGAGAAGGACATGTGTGGTGAGGGGTGAGGGGTTGGGGGGAGGGAGGAAGGGGGGGGGTTCGGAACGGGGAAATATTTTCGGAGAGGGTGCAGCAAAAAGACGCAGCGTACCATTCAGCTGAGCGAGCACATCGCCGAGGTAAGCCTTGAGCCCGTCGTCGTCTGTGACAAGCATGGTGAGACCGTACTTGTTGACACGAACAAACGACTCGGGAGGGTAGATGCCGCGCTGGTAGAGGATGCTGCGTGTGTGTGTGTGTGGGGGGGGGGGGTGGGGGGTGGGGGGTGTGAAACAGTTGTACTTGCCAGTGTGCCTTGTTGGTATGTGGGATGTGTGTGCGCATGTATGTAGGGATGTGTGTGTGTGGGGGGGGGGGGGGGATGCATGGGTATGTGTGTGGGCCGGTGGACCTGGTGGTGGTGACGGTAGTCTGAACGGATGTGCGTGTATGTGCATGTGTGAGCCCGTACAGGCATACGTGTGTACAGAGTGTGTATGCGTAGTGCATACGTGTGTGTATGTGTATGTGTATGTGTATGTGTATGTGTATGTGTATGCGTATGTGTTCATCCATGTGTCGGCATGTATGTATGCATGTGTGTGTGGCACCGGTGTGCCTCCCTCCGCCAGGCGCGCCAAAACAGTGCGCGCCATTCGGCTGGCCACCCCCCCCCCCCTCCCTTCCTCTCCGCCCTTACCCTTCCACAGGAGCGGGAGGTGTGAGCGGGAAGCAGGGAGCGGGGGAGAGAGGGAGGGATACGTACGAGTTGATGGAGTAGCCAAAGAACTCAGTGACAATGGCGGTAGAGCCGCGGAGGGTAATGGTGTTCTTGGTCGCCGTCGACGTCGCCATGGTGAAGAGCGCGTGAGGTGTGTTGCCATTGATCACAAGCCCGATCATGATCGATGGTGATCACGGTCACCACCCGCCCCCCTCCCCCACCTCTGCCTGGCACACCTCGTCGTAGCCACCCTGCCGCCCCGTTCAAGAGTTCAGGGGACAAACAAGGCGACACATGCATCCAGAAGAGATGGCGAGGGCCTGAGCACGGCCCGTAACGGGTATTATGGGAAGGTCGCATGCGTGTGTGTGTGTAAGGGGAGATGATGGGGAGCAGGACGACGGCTTGTCACGCTCCGAAAAAGGTCGTAGAGCGGGAGCTGGCTGCGAGGACACGGCCACTTAGCCTTCCCCTGACACCACCTCACCCACCACCATGTCGGCATCCAAGCTGTTCACAGCAGGTGGCCTCCCCATGGTGTTCTACATGAGCATGGGAAAGACAAAGAAGCAAATGCGGGAGCTTATCACGGTACGTACACAGCGGGCATGGGCGGCGGCTGGTGGCCGGTGGCGCCAAGGTTGGCGCCAAGGGAAAGGCAAGGGTTGGTGGAGGAGAGAGGGAAGAGAGGAAGGGCAGTGTACTCATGGTGCGGGCTGGGTTGGTGATGGTGTTTGCGGGGGATGTGCTACGGGTGGTGGTGGTGGTGGTGTTGGTGGGGGATGTGCTGCGGGTGGTGGTGGTGGTGTTGGTGGTGGTCGCGGTGGTCGCGGTGCGGCGTGGTGGGCGTGGTAATCGTGGTGATTGGCAATGCTGATGGTGGTGGGACGTGGTGGCGTTGCTACTGGTGGTGGCGTGGCGACGGGCGATGGTGATGATGGTGCTGTTGGTCGGTTGCGGCTGGTTGCGGGAGACAGAAGCACGGCGGTCGGATGGCGACGACAAAGGTGAAGGACTGCATTGTACTGGTGCCAAAGAAGCTGTCGCCGGGGCAGTCTAAGCGGGTGGGCAAGGCGTACTTGGAGCGATTTGTCACCGACTCAGTGGCGGCCGGCAAGCTGCTGCCGCTCAGCGAGTACGCCGCGACTGACAAGCCCGAGCCTGTCGCCGCACATTCGCAAGCCCGCCAGCCGTATTCCATGATGGATGAGGCGGTGATGCTGCGGTTTGCTGAGGCCGAGATCGCGGCTGGGGCGACAATCATGTCGCGCAAGACGTGGAAGCTGGCGGAGCGGATTGGTCTCATCAAAGGCCGCAACGCCGAGGCTCTCTACGGGCGGTGGCGCTCCATCGTGGGAAAGCCCGACGCATACAAAGCCCGCCTCCGCGCCATTGCGGTCGACGAGCTCACGCCGCATCAGAACAGTAAGAAGGCCGAAGATGACGCTGAGGACGAGGCTCGACTTGACGCTGCCTTTACCGACGTCGACAACGCGGTCATCCTCAGATATGCCGCCGCGCATGCTGACAGCAAGTGGCTGTGGGAGGTTGCAGCCGTGCTGGGGCTCGTCGACGGCATGTCGGCCGCCGCACTCAAGGAGCAATGGGCCGAGCTGGTCCAGCTGCCCAAGACTCGTCAGGCCCAGCTCACGCGCATCAACGTTGAAGCCCGTCTGCCGACGGAGAAGCAGGTCAGGGGCGCCCGTGCAGCGGCGGTCAAGGCCGGCAAGGCTGCAGCGGCGGCCGCGGCCAAGGAAGCTAAGAATGCCAAGAATGGCAAGGGAGCCAAGGCCAGCGCCGAGGCGGCGGCGGTGGCAGCAGCGGCGACCAGGCAGCCTGCGACGCCGGACCAGTCAACGGTCTCGGTGGAGGCGGCAGCGGCCATGGCCCGGGCCATGACCGAGAAGCTCTCGTCGAGCAAGTCGCGCAAGTACACCGACGCGGAGGACGCGGCGATTTGGCAGTATGCGACGGCAATGCAGGCGGCCCATGAGGGCATCTCAACGAGGGACATTTTCAGGCAGGCGACGGGCGATGGTCTGTTCCCGACTCGGACCTTTCAGGCGCTGTGCATCCGCTTTAACGGCCTTGCCGCCCAACCGGAGTTGACCATGCAGCGGCTGGCTGGCTTTCTGGACGTCCCGCCGGCGACAAGTGGCACAAACAAGCGCCAGGCGCCAGGCGACGCCGAGTCCGACGCGGCGCCCGCGGCCAAGAAGGCCAAGTCGCTGAGCGGAGCAGCAGTAGTCAGCGACGTGCAGCCGCTGGACATTGCCGCCATGGAGATGGCTGCCAACTCGAGCATGTTCCTCTACGTTGACGGGGAGCGCAACGAGTGGGCCAAGCTCGCAACGATGGAGCTCTCAGACTCGGACGATGAAGATGCACGCGCTGCGCTCCTTGCTGTCCGCCAGCATCTCTCGACTAGGCCGTGGTGGAAGAACAAGGGCAGCGATCCGCTGCCGACGCCGCCGCGGCGCAAGACGTCATCCCCGCCTCCGGCGTCGGCGTCGGCCGCGGCTAAGCCATCCACGCCCGCGAAGGCCAGCCCAGCATTGGCCCGCCCGGCGTCGTCGACCCAAAAGGCGTCGTCGACCAAAGAAGTGTCGTTGGCAGACAGACCAGGCAAGTCATCAAGCAAGAAGACCAAGGCCAAGGCCAAGGCCAAGACCAAGGCCAAGGCCAAGTCGCGAACCAAGGCGCAGGCTGCGGCGGCGGACGAGGCAGTCGGGACAGAAAACAGGATGTTGTCGGCTGCCGAGGCACTTCAGGCGCTCTCCACCAACTATGGCGTTCCGATTGCCACCCTTGTTCGGCTTGTCTTCAACTTTAACGGCTCGGTGGGCCGGACCGAGAGGTACCTGCGCAAGCTCGTCGAGCGCGGCGCCGAGCCCGGTGAAGCGCTGGTGGCCAAGATCAAGGACCCGTTCTCGCCGGCCGACGATGCCCGCATCCTCATGGGCTCGTCAAAGGCACTCAAGAAGCTGGTGCGCCGCCACGGAAAGAAGCGAGTTGATGAGCGCCGTGCATACCTGCAGTCGCTGTAGCGTCAGTCAATACACGGTCGTAAGTGAGGCCAGCGAGAGATGAGCGTCATCGGAGGAGGCGGGCGGCGACCGAGGCAACCGACGACGAGGCCGACGATGAGGCCGAAGCGAGGGCGGTTGCGGTTGCGGTTGCGGAGCTGAGAGCGCCTGCGGTTGCCGCCGGGCGGAAAGTCGAGGGCACGCCCGAGGCGGTGGAGCAGGTTGAGGACGAGGCCGAGAGGCGATAGAGGACAAAGAAGACGAGCACGTGGAGGAGGAGCGAGTAGAAGAAGACAAAGGTGCGGGCAAACTTGGTGCCGAGGAGGATGCGCGAGGTGTTGAGGGTGACTTTCTCGGCGGCGTTGAGCTCGTTGTAAGACGAGTCGCGCTGCTTGCGATGGAAGAGGGTGAACGGGTTCATCGAGTCCTCGTAGAGCTTGCGGTAACGGAGCTCTGCCGAGCCACCTGTGCCTCCTCCGGCGTTACCTGCTCCGCCGGCTGCCGAGCTCGTGCCTGCGGTGCCTGCGGGCATGGCGAGCGGGCCTCCAAGCTCGCCAGACTCCATGCGGAGCATGGTTGCGTCACGCTCGCGAGCAATGTCGTCGTACGACTCGAGGAAGCGGATCTTCTCGTACAACTCGAGGTTGTCGGCCTCGAGGGCGTCGGCGGCGGCGCGGGCGGTGTGGACCCGCTCGTGAAGGGTGGCGTTCTCGGTCTCGAGCTCGAGGACGCGGGCCTTGAACCGGTCGCGCTGTGCGACGACGACGGCAAATGCATCTGCTGGCGGCGCGAGCTGCGCCGGGCTCCGGGCCTCGCCGGCCGAGCCGGGCAACAGTGCCTGGACTAGCGCGGCCTCGCGGGCGTCTGCGGCGTCTGCGGGCGCAGCGCGTGGCGTTTGCGGGCCAGCCGCTGCTGCTGCCGACACGTTGAGGATGTCAGCCTCGAGCTGGGCGATGAGCGCGTCCTTGTCGGCAAGGGCGGCAGCAGCAGCGTCGCGCTCTGCGGCGATGTCTGCGGCGTCGCGCTCTGCAGCGGCGAGGGAGGAGCGGAGCGCGGCGGTGCCGGCCTCCAGCTCCTTGTTCTTGGCCATGAGCAGGGCATCGAGCGGGGCGTCGCCCGGCGTCTCCTCGCCAAACTCGATGCCCTTGAGGAGGGCGAGCTCGCGGAGGAGCGCATCGACATCGGTCGACGGCGCGAGCGCCATCTCGGCTACAAGCTCGTCGACTTCTGCGGTCTTGGCGACAAGCTGGTCGCGGAGGCGGGCAAGGTCACTGGCTGCGGCACGGGCGGCGGCGGCGGCGTCGTCGCGGGCGGCAGCAAGCTCGTCGACCAGGTCCGAGATCTCGACGTCCTTGCGCGAGAGCTCGAGCTCGAGGGCGGCAACCTGGTCGACAAGGACACCAATGTCCGAGGCAGCGCCGGCGCTGGCGGCGCCACCGACGTCGGTGCCTGCAGTCCGCTCCGCAGCCGCGCGCTCGGCCTCGAGAGCCATGACGCGCGCCTTGGCACGGCCGAGCTCGGCGGAGAGCGCGGCAATCTGGGCGTCGCGGACGTCATCGGCCTCTTGGGCAGCCTGCGACTCGCCGAACGAGGTGGTCTGGGCGGTGGAGAGTTGGGCGCGGAGGCGAGCGTAGTCCTCCTCCATGGCAGCCATCTGGGCACGGGTCCGGGCCTCGCGTTCGGCGAGCAGCGCGGCCTTGGCCTCGTACTCGGCCTCGAGGACGGCGACGACTTCTTCCGACTTGGCGGTGACCTGCCCGTCGAGCTCGGCACTGAGCTCGCGGACCTCCTTCTCCAGGCGGGCAATGGTCACGTCCTGGTTGCGGAGCGAGGCAAACTCGGCCGCGTTGGCCTGAAGCTCCGCCTGGAGGCGGGCGTTCTCGGCAGCAAGCTCGTCGGCAGCGTTGTCGGCAGCAGCGTCGCGGAGAGCAGCGATGGAGAGCTCCAGCAGCGGAGCAGGATCAGGCACCTCGGCAAGGTCCTTGTACAGGCCGAGAAAGTGCTTCTCCGCAAAGCGGGCGCGGACAGTCAGCGCATCGATCTCCTTCTGGTACTTGCGGAGGAGGACAGCAAACTTGGGCTTACTCTTGGGCTTGCTCGCCCCGGCACCCGCTTCTGTTCCTCCCGCCCCTGCCTCTCCCCCATCATCCGCCTTTCCGTTGCCCTCGCTCGACTTGTTGAACGCCTTGGTCGCAGCAGCTAGGCTCTTCCGCGAAGCAGACGAGGCGTCCTGATTAGCTGCAATCTTCTCGCCCGCAGAGTCGAGTGACTCGCGCTGCGCCGAGAGGCCAAAGTCTGCCAGCAGAGAGAGAGAGAGAGAGAGAGAGAGAGAGAGAGAGAGAGAGAGAGAGAGAGAGTGTGTGTGTGTGTGTGAGTGAGAGAGAGAGAGAGAGAGAGAGAGAGAGACCCCCGCCCGCTGCAGGTCATGTCTGTCCTTTCGTCCCCTCGTCCCGGAGCAGGTCATGTCTGTCCTTTCGTCCCCTGGCGGACCATGCCCGTCCCCAGCCAGGTCATGCCCGTCCCCTGGCAGGCCATGCCCGTCCCCAGCCAGGTCATGCCCGTTCCCTGGCAGGCCATGCCCGTCCCCAGCCAGGCCATGCCCGTCCCCAGCCAGGTCATCGCCCCCCCCCCCCCCCCTGCCATGCCACGTACTCTGCCAATGGACCAGCGCGGTGGTCAGCGACTGCAAGGTGGTGGTGCTCGCCATGACCGCCTTTCTCTGCACTGCCTGAGTCTGCGTCTGCGTCTGCGTCTGCGTCTGCGTGCGGGTGGTGATGTGGGTGACTGTCGCTCCTCTCCCTCTACACCCGTCCCGTCAGTGTGTGAGAGTCAGGTGGCTGCTGGTGCGGGTGCTGGTGGTGGTACTGGTGCTGGTGCTCAGCGGAGCCTGCTGGCTCGACTGCCACCACATGGTGGTCGTTGGTCGAACCTGCCATCTATTTTCGCGCATTCAAAATATTGATCCTATTTTTGGGGGTTGCGCCAGGGCGAGGGTCATGGCGGTTCAACCTCCCTGTCCCGGTATGGCTCGCATCGCACATACTCATCTTGCATCCATAGAGAATCATATGCTCTAAGGACTCTGTGCAAGCTCGGCTCCTGTTCTAAGTGCTTGTCTTGTTGGCTGCTGCTCAATCCGGCTGCTCCCGCTCGCGTCGCCCTTTTTTTTCCCCCGCAAGATGGGGAGGCGGCTCTTTGCCTTCTCATGCTCGTTGTGGCAAGCCTGTCACGCTCATCTCCCCGTGCAAACAGAGGGGGCACTGTGTCATCATCGGCTCGGCTTTTGTCCGTGCCAGGCCTGCCCCGCTCGTCCTCCTCGCTTGTCCTGGTTTACCACACCCCCTGCGCAACCATGGCATCGGCCACGCGCTCAAAGCCGGCAATGTTGGCGCCGGCCTGCAGGTCACCGCCGAGATCAAACCGGTCGGCTGTGTCCTTGGCTGCGGTGTAGATGTCCTCCATGATGGACTGCAGCTTGCTGTCGACTTCCTCCTCATCCCAGAAAACGTGCCCGGCATTCTGCGCCATCTCCAGGCCGGAGACCCCGACACCGCCAGCGTTGGACGCCTTGCCCGGCGAGTACATCAGGCTGCCAGACTTGATGGCTTCGATGGCCTCGGCGGTGCATGGCATGTTGGCACCCTCAAACACGCCGCGGACGCCGGCGTCGACCAGCGCCGCAGCATCGTCGCCGTCGAGCTCGTTCTGCGTCGCACACGGAAAAGCGTAGTCGCCGGCAAACTGCCACGGCTTGCCGCCCTCGACGTACTCGGCCGACTCGGAGAACTCCTCGGTGTACTCCTTGATCCGCCCGCGGCGAACGGTCTTGAGCTCGGTGATGAACGCCAGCCCGTCCTCGGTTAGGCCGTCGGGCTCGTGGATGACGCCCGACGAGTCCGACAGCGTCACCACCTTGGCGCCGAGTGAAATGAGCTTGGCCGCCGCATGGAGCGCCACATTGCCCGATCCTGAGACCAGGCACTTCGCGCCGTCGAACGACTCGTCGGCATCGGCCACAATGTGGCGCGCAAAGTACACCAGCCCGTAGCCGGTTGCTTCAGGCCGCACCAGCGATCCGCCCCAGTTCGAGCCTTTGCCCGTCATCGCGCCGTCGGCCCGCCGCGTCAGCCGCTTGTACTGCCCGTACAGGAACCCGATCTCGCGCGCCCCAACTCCGATGTCGCCGGCAGGCACGTCCGTGTCCGGCCCAATCTCGGTGTAGAGTGCAGACATGAACGCCTGGCAGAAGCGCATGACCTCGTCGTCCGACCGCCCACGCGGGTTAAAGTCCGATCCGCCCTTGGCTGCCCCCAGCGGCAGACCCGTCAGCGCATTCTTGAACGTCTGCTCAAAGGCAAGGAACTTGAGTGTCGAGAGATCCACAGACGGGTGGAACCGTAGCCCGCCCTTGCCCGGCCCGCACGCCGTGTTCATCACCACCCGGAACCCGCGGTTGATCTCTGTCCTCCCATCGTCGTCCTGCCACGCAACCCGAAAGTGCAGCACACGCTCAGGCTCCAGCATCCGCGCGAGAACATCCACAAGCTCGGGCCGCTCCTTTAGGAGCGGCTTGACGCTCGCCACCACCTCGTCGACAGCCTGGAAAAACTCGGGCTGGTCCGGATCACGTTGCTTCGCCGCCTCCACAACCTCGTCCACGCTCGGCTTTGACGTTGCCTCTTCCGCTTTGCTTGAACTGGTGGACATTATTTCGCTTATTCTTCCGTTTGCTCTTCGTGTCTGTGCGGTTATGTGTACGTTATGGAAGTGCGTGGAAATGGCCGTGTTTTATCCCCGACATCTTGGGTCAGTCTGGGCCGATGTCGTGATTATTTCACTCAAAAGTCTATTCTCTGACGACAGCCAGCTTGAACAGCTTGATACCCCCCCTATCTCGTCAATATCTTGCTAGTCCAACGTTCCTCCGCTCGCGTGAACCTATGCACGGCACAGAATACATCAAGCTTGACGACTCTGCAATCGCTGCAACCAGGCAGCCAGATGGCTCTCCATCGTTGACAGGCTCGGCAACGGAATTCTTTGCCGAGACATATTTCTCGTGCCAACGGATTATTGTTCGGCAGCTCCGCCAACGACTGACGCGCTCCACTGCTGTCTCCAACCATGCTCAGCTTTACCCGTACCGCCACCCGCAGTGTTGCTCACACCGCCTTGGTTCCGGCCGTCCGCACTTTTGTCCTTACCCATGGGTACGAGCTCGTTTCGTCGTCCTGATCTCTCCCAATTCTCCGTTGACTAGCAAATGGGGATGGGGCCTTCGTCGACGTGCCGTCATCACTTGAACGTCATCACGTGATGACGTGATGTCCAACCATTTCGCCACAAAATGAGTAGCGCCGGTGGCGGGGATGTATCACGGTGGTTTGAGTCACACACACTCACATCACATCATCATGAGCAAAAGCGGTGAAGGCAATGTGTCTTGGAACAAGGACGTGAAGGAGGGCCGGTACGAGCGAAAGGACTCGCTGTTCCGGCGATGGATCGAGGCAGACCCCGATGCGGAGTTCCCGGCCGAGGCTGGGCGGTATGTGATCTATGCTGCGATGGCGTGCCCGTGGGCATGCCGGACGCTGGCCATGCGCGAGCTCAAGGGCCTGACCGAGGTCATTGAGGTTAACATTGTCGACGTCGTCCTCCCGGACACGGGCTGGACGCTTGAGGCCAAGGATGAGGGCGCAACGGGAGACACCATCAATGGCCGGAAGCAGGTCTCTGAGATCTACTACGCCGCCGATCCCGAGTACGATGGCCGGTTCACGGTTCCCATCCTGTACGACAAGGTCAACGACACCATTGTCAACAACGAGTCGTCAGAAATCATTGTCATGCTCAACTCGGCGTTCAACGCGTTGTCGGCCACGCCCGAGGCCGCGGCGCTCGATCTGTATCCAGCTGAGCTGCGCGACGAGATCGACGAGGTCAACGAGCGGGTGTACCACTCGCTCAACAACGGCGTGTACAAGTGCGGCTTTGCCAAGACTCAGGAGGCGTATGAGGAGGCTTTCCACGCCCTCAACGACACGCTCGAGTGGATGGAGGACCGCCTCGCCTCATCGCGCTACCTTGTCGGCTCGCGGTTCACTCTTGCCGACATCCGCGCCTTTGTCACCCTCATCCGCTACGATCCGGTCTACGTCACGCACTTTAAGACCAACAAGCACCGCATTCGCGAGCTGCCCAACCTCTGGGCCTACACCCGCGAGATCTACCAGATGGCCGACGGAAAGATCGCCTCCACCGTCAACTTTGACCACATCATCCGCCACTACTATTGCTCCCACAACTCAGTCAACCCGACAGGCATCTACGCTCTCGGCCCCGACCCCGCAGACCTGCTCAAGCCGCACAACCGCGACTCGCTGCCGGCCGATCCTCTCCCCATTGTCCATGACCCGTAGGCTCGACAACCGCCCGTCACTGCACCCGTCGTCGCGCCCGAGTTGCCCACATCTGCCAGGTGGCATTCAAGTTGACACAGACAACACTCTACCCCCCTCCCATGACGTAAACAATGCTGATCCACGAGTATAGGGATGTAGGCAGGGTTGGCAGTGCAATCATCGCTGTGGCCGGGGCAACTCCTGTGACGCGTGATCACCATGGATCGCCCAAACTCGCTGCTTTGGGCGGCCGTCATGGCCTGCGGAGCGACGGCGGCAAATGATTGGTGGATGGCATACGGCGTTTACGACGAGCCGAGGTTGAGGAGGATGTTGCCGGACGACGGCAGGTACGCAATGTTGCGCGAGCGCGCGAGGGTTTCTGCGATGTGGCGGGCGGTCTCGATGCGGCGGAGCTCGAGATGGGCAAGACCGGCCTGCTTGTAAGCATCCGAGAGGAGCTTGGCGGCGGCCGACTCACCCTGGGCGCGGATGACCGAAGCCTGGCGCTCATACTCGTCACGCTGAACGACCCACTTCTGGCGCTCGGCCTCCTGCTGAGCGACCTGCTTGCGCTCGACGGCGACCGTAAAGTCGCGGCCGAAGCGGAGCTCGGTGATGGCGATGTCGTCGAGGACAATGTGGTAGCGGGCAGCGTCGCGGGTGAGCTGCTCGCGAATGAGCCGCGAGACGGCCTCACGCTGGGTGATGAGCTCATGGGCGTTGAACCGGGCGACAACGGCCTTGAGAACCTCGGGCACAATCGACGGCAGAATGCGCGACTTAAAGTCCTCACCAAAGGTACCGTAGATGACCGGGAGTGCCTCGACCTGCGGCCGCTGGAGGATACGCAGCGCGACGGTGACCTGCTGGAGATCGGCCGACCCAGTCTGCGAGGCCACCACAAAGGGCTCGGTCCGGACCGAGAAGATGATCGGTGTCTGCACAAACGGAATCAGCAAATGCGTTCCCTCGCCCACAACATCCTTCTGAATACCAGACCACCGGTTGAACAGCACCGCACGGTGACCAGCATCGACTAATCTCCCATCATCATCACTCTGGTGAGTCTCCGGCTTGGCTTGTCGGCTGCCTGCTCGCCCGCCTCCCAGCCTTCCTGTCTGTTCCTCTCACTCAGCACCATCACCATCACCGCACCACGCCATGCCATCTGTTCCCACACCACAGCTCCAGCAGCTTGACCGCCGTCTCCAGCTCGCCCTGCGGACCTCCCCGAGGAGGCTGGCTGGCTGATGATGAGCCAAAGCTCATCAGCCAATGATCAGGAGCAGGCTAAGCTGGGTGTGGACGAGAGAAACGACGGAGACCAGCGTGCCAATTGAGGCCGAATGACAGCGGTGGCGGCGAGCAGTGCTGATAGACGAGACAGCGGGGCGAGACGAGACGAGACGAGGCGAGGCGAGGAGAGGCGGGTTGGCACACGGTTGGCCATGCGAGGCGACGCGGCATCCACGGAGCGGTGACGGCGGGAGAAGGGGGAAGAGGGGATGGAGGACGAATGCGGTGAAGGGGAGAGAAGAAAATCAGACAAGGGGATAGAGGAGTTAACGGAGAACACGCGGATGTGGTTTGTGGGTGTGGCAGAGCAAGTGGTTTGCGGTGGGAGGTGACAGTGTCGCCATGGTGAAGCGTTTGTGGCGAGGCAAAATCAATCTTAGTCAGAGCTCTCTGCGCCACTCACGAGGGGGTATGGAGAAGATGGGATGTATGATGACAAGTACTGCCATCTTTCTACGTACCAGTGTACAGGCACTGTTCAACGCCGGCGAATGCACCTCCAACACCAAGGGATGCGAGTGCTACGCGCGTGAGAAGCCGGGCGTACTGAGCCATGGCGACACGAGAGGTGCTGGTTCCTGCTTTGCCGCCCTGCTAGCACCATCCATCATTTTACCTTTCGTTTATCGTTGCCTTCTCCCCCCCCTCCCGAGCCGCATTCATTGTTTGTTATTCAAATTAATCGATGACGCGCCCTCAGGCAGGTCGTTCATGGTTCTTCCAACAAAAAACTCGTACCGTTGTCAACGATTATCTGTTGGGAGATTAATCGTTGGCCCCTTCTCTTGCCGACAGGTACCCTCCTCCACAGACGCTCGTCGGCGGAAAGCCATCGAGTACCACTCAACTCGCGCTGAAAGTCAGAGGCGACTGAGAACTATGGCTCGCTCGTCTACCGCCAGCTCGACGGCGTCGTCATCGGGCGAAAGCAGCTCTGCCAGCAACAAGTCGTCGTCGTCGGCATCGCCGTCGGCCTCGTCAAAGTCTGACTCGTCGGCCGCATCTTCCTCCTCCACCTCCTCCAACACCCTCGAGGCCATGTCCTCCGTCCGCTATCAGTCGGATGAAGACTCGGTACGTACCCCAAACCATGTCTCCCTCTCGCCTCCACCTGCATCGCCTCCCGCCCTTCTCTACCCGCAGTGTTTCTTCCTTGTCGCCCACCGCCCTCTCCCCCCCCCCCTTTTTCAGCATGATCGATCACACTCCCGCACCACCCCCCCCCCCGTCCTCCCCTCCTCGCTCTCCCCTCGCTCCCCCTCCCCCCTCCCCCCCCCCTCCTCCGTCCTCTGCACATGTCGCATACCCCGACACTTTTATGACCTCCTCCTCTCCCGTCTTCCTCTCAATCCAGTGCCTCAGCGTGGTCCCCCCTTAGGTTCAGCCCCTGCCGTGATCGATCGCCGTCATGATCGCGATCAGCCATGCCAAGCTTGACGACCTTTTTCTGCACCAGCCCGCCCCCCCTCCCCCGCTCTCCCCCTACCTCACCTCACCTCACCCAACCCACTTGTGACGATGATGATGACGATGATGGCGATCACAATCACGATTCCTGTGGCGGCGACAGACGGTGGTTGCAGCCAACCTCGACGACTTTTTCAAGGCGTGCCGGCGTGGCGACCAGGAGCGTGCGCTCCGGATGATCCAGAAGAACAAGGTGGATGTCAACACGGCGCATGGGAAGAACGAGCGGACGGGGCTGCACATTGCGGCCGAGGGTGACTTTTACGCGTTGGCGTCGATGTTGCTCAAGCACGGGGCCAATGTCAATGCCAAGGATCGGCGCAAGTACACGCCGCTGGACAAGGCGCTGCAGCACTCGTCGAAGCGGGTCCACGCGCTGCTTGTGGAGGCCGGCGGCTCGCGGAACCGGGTCAAGGCTGAGACGCTGCACGATGCCGCTACACTGGGCGACTTTGAGGCGGCCAAGGAGATGGTCATCGGTGGGACCGAGGCCGACGTGACCGACGAGCGTGGGCGGACGCCGCTCCATCGCGCGGTTGTGGCCGGCTCGGAGGACATTGCGCTGCTCCTGCTCAAGGCCGGCGCCGACCCGCTGCACAAGGACATCTTTGGTGTCACGCCGCTTGACGAGGCCGAGCGCCACCGGGCGCACGCCGGCTCGAACCGCCTGTATGACATGCTTGCCGGCGCCGCTGGCTCTGCCGAGCACCACAAGTTCTACCAGAACCACTTTTTCGTGGCCCTCGCCGTCCTCCAGGTTGTCCTCATTGTGCTCTTTGCTCTCTTTGCCACCTATGGCGACGACGCCGACCGCGACCTCGCGCTGCAGGACGGCAAGCTCCAGCCGAACGCCCAGCTTGACACCTACCCACTCTACCAGGACGTCCACGTCATGATCTTCATTGGCTTTGGCTTCCTCATGACCTACCTCCGCAAGTACGGCTTCTCGTCGGTCTCGGTCACGCTCCTCGTGGCCGCCTTTGTCATCGAGTGGCACATTCTTGTCTCAGGCTTTTTCGAGAACGTCTTTGACGGCGGCTTTACGCACAAAGTCGCCATCGACATCAACAAGCTGCTTGTGGCCGACTTTGCCGCCGCTGCCGTCCTCATCTCGTTTGGCGCGCTGCTGGGCAAGATCTCGCCGCTGCAGATGCTCTTTGTGGCCTTTTGGGAGGTTATCTTCTTTGCCGTCAACGAGGAGATTGGGCTCCACCTCGAGATTGCCGACGTCGGTGGCTCGATGGTGGTCCACGTCTTTGGCGCGTACTTTGGCGTGGCAGCGTCGTACATGCTCACCACGCGGGCTGCTATGGCACCGGGCTCGGAGAATGGCTCGTCGTACCGGTCGGACCTGTTTGCCATGATCGGCACCGTCTTCCTCTGGCTCTACTGGCCGTCGTTCAACGCCGCACCGGCCGCCGAGGACCTCCGCCACCGTACCATCGTCAACACGGTGCTCTCCATCTCGGCGTCGGCTGTCACCGCCTTTGCCGCCTCGTCGTACTTTTCCGACACCATGCGCTTCGACATGGTCCACATCCAGAACGCCGTGCTCGCCGGCGGCGTCGCCGTTGGCTCCATCGCCAACATGCCCATCGAGCCTTACGCCGCCATCCTGGTCGGCACCCTTGGTGCCATTATCTCGGTCACGGGCTACGTCGTCTTCCTCCCCAAGCTCCAGAACTGGTTCGGCATCCACGACACCGCCGGTGTCCAGGCCCTCCACGGCCTCCCGGGCATCCTCTCCGGCATTGCCTCGGCCATTGTCGCCTGGTCGGCCTCGTGCTACAAGTTTGGCGGCGAGGAGGCCCTCGCCCAGCACTACTCCTCGTTCTCGACCTCGTCGTCGGACTGCTCCATGATTGCCCAGGGCACCATGCAGATCATATTCCTCGTCATCACCCTCGCTCACGCCATGCTCTCCGGCCTCATCGTCGGCTACTGTGCTCGCCTGAAGTGGTTCGCCCCTTCGGTCGAGTACTTTGTCGACTCGGAGAACTTTGAGGTTCCCGAGATCGAGGATCCGTACTACTTTGACAACCACGGCCTCGAGGAGGCCGTCGCCACCATTGTCGACGAGATTAACGTCCGCAAGAACCGCTCGTACTCATCGCTCTTTGACGTCGACGAGCCCAAGCCGGCTGCCAAGGGCAAGGGCAAGGGCTCCAAGGGCTCCAAGGGCTCCAAGGGCTCCAAGGGCTCCAAGGGCTCCAAGGGTTCCAAGGGCTCCAAGGGCAAGGGCCCGTCCAAGAAGGGTTCGTCTAAGAAGGGCTCGCCAAGGGCAAGGGCAAGGGCAAGGGCAAGGGCAAGGGCAAGGGCAAGAAGTAACTCGCCGATCGTCGCCCTCCATGCTGAGCACCTACCAACCATTTTCTGTGATAAAAATCTCATCTGCATGCATCTGTCCTGTATTCCCTCTTTGTGTGCCGTCGCAGAGTGTGCCGAGTGTGCCGACGACGTCACCGCTTTGGCCCGTTGTGCGACTCGGGCGGCGAGGCGATGCAGGTGCACTTTCGGCAGGGCGCAGGCGATGCGAGACCAAGACAGTACACCTCTCTCTGAATCCCATCAAGTACGGAGATGTCGTCCACGATTGCCCTTGCCTTCATCCTAGCGGTGGCAGGCGCGGTTTCCGCGGCCGCGTCGTTGCGGCTGATGGGTTCAGCTGCCTCCGAGTCGGCGCACTACGCGCTCGGCACCATCGTGAGCATCAAAAGTTCCGAGACGGACATCCGCGAGTGGGTCGCTCCTGCTCCACATGTCAAACTCCTCTCTGGTACCGCGCTCGGTCTCTTTGCCACCTACTGTGTTCTACTCTCCAAGGAGAGCCTCATTGCCGGCTTCTCGCCGCTCGGCCAGCAGCAGCTCCACTTTCCTTTGCCCAGCAAGTGCATCGAGGCGTGGGTGAGCCTGCTCGTGACGATGGCGCATGCAGTTCGCGGTGTACACGCGTCTATCCGTGACAAAAACAACGCTGATGAAGATTGCAACAGCGAGGCTGATACTGACGACGATGACGAACTGGACACCAATGACGACGGCCTCGGCCAGTTCTACGCCCCGCCGGCCATCTGGGCCACCGATTCAGACTCATCGTGTTCAAGCCCCGAGGCCTGGGAGAGCCTGTAGCGAGAGCAGCATAGCGCTGCAACATCTTGTCGAGTTTGCAGCTACGACTATCAAAAACCATAACCACACGCCCATCACGCCTGGCACAGACCTCGGCCGAGCTGGGCGGAGCCATCATCCAGTCACCACATACCCGCCGTGAGCGACTGTCCGAGCATAGCGATCCAGGTCTCCGGGCTCAAAGTCGAGCTGGAGAAGGCCGTAGTCGACCGAGCCGGTAACCGAGACGCGATGGAGGAGGCGGAGCGAGGCGGTGGAGGCGGCTGTGGCCTGATGGGCCACGAGGTGGTTGTCGGCGATGACGAGATCACCCTCTTGCCAATGATGCACATATGAGTAGTCATCGCTCGCCATGATGGCATCGAGATCCGCTAGTATCCGCTCCGACTCGGCCGGCGATAGCAGCAGGTCTGTAAGGTCGGCATCGGGTGCTGGCGGCGTGGGCGAACGGAGAAGCGCGACGGTGACGCCAGCAGCGTTGAGGTGGATGGTCGGCGCGCCGGTGATCGGGTGGCGGGCCAAGACTCGGCGGGCAGCCCCGGACCGACTCACGGCCCACACGTGTGCAAGATCAGCGGCCAGATGAGGCGGCAGCGCAGCAGCGGCAGCGGTGAGGTTGAGGAAGAGCGTGTCGCCCGAACCGTCGTCGGGGAGAGACACCACACGCCACGACGAGAGATCCGACGGCACGCTCCGCATCGAACCGTCGGTGTGCCAGTACGAGCCGACGCCGGTCTTGCCATGAGCCGCCGAGTTAGAGACGCGGAGAACTGGGCTCATACTGCCGGTCACCGCGTCACGGAACGACTCGGCACTGCCGCTCCGCTCGCCGGGCTCACCGCCGCGCATCCGGCGGTGGACAAGCTCCATGAACGCAACATGGCTCGGGTCGTCGATGACCGAGGCAGAACGAAGTACAATGAGGCCGTACCGCTGCAATGCGGCGACAGCATCGTCCACAGCGTTTTGACCGAGCAGATCGACCTGCAGCGAGGCAAAGAGGTACGCGCCCAGCGGAGGATGCGGGACGAGGAGAAGGCGGCTCTGAGCGAGGTTACGAAGAGCGCGCTCGGCAGCAAGCATACCGATGTTACGGGCGATGACAACCGAGGCCACGGCCCGAGCATGACAGACGAGTTCGCGACTGAAGGTGTCGCCACCACGGCCCTCGTCGCCGTCACCGTCTTGGCAGGGGGTAATGCCCACGGCCATGGACCGCAACCGGGCTGGCGATCGGGCAGCTGGCGACAAGGCGTACGGCAGGAGCTTCTCGCTCGTTGTGCTCTGAGGCAGGTAGACAAGCTCGTGCTCGATGCCCGGCAGGGCCAGCCATGCGACAGCATCAGCCAGAAGACGATGCGGCGGGAGGCGAGAGAACGAGGGCTGCGGAGCGTAGCGGCCCAGCGGATGGACAGACGGCAAGAGCATGCCAAATCGAGCAAGAGCATCAAACGATGAGAGTCGGCCAAAGGAGACGGTGAGCGGATGGCCGGCGAGAGTGGCTCCCACGGCGAGTCGCGAAGCCGTGTCGCGTAGCTCGAGGTGAGACCAGGCGAGAGGAGCATGGGTACCTAGCGCAAGGAGTAGAGGCACCACAGCCTCACCAGTGGCCGCAGCAGGTTGCGCATATGCAGCTGCAGCCGCATACCCACGTAGGTAGTCTGAAAGGGTCGGTAGCTCCTTGTCTAGCCCCACGGGCACCGCAGAACTCAGCGCCTCGTAGCTCGCCTTGGCAACCTCGGGCGGCGCGCCGAGGCATGACGGCGCGAGCAGTTGCGGTATGGTTGCAGCGAGGACAGGCCATGCGTAGCGAGTCTTGGTGACGATGATGTGAGCAGCTGCGGCGTGACCATCGGCGGGAACGGATGTAGGACTCGAGGCAGACGGAGCCGCGAGGAGGGCGATGTAGGCGGCGAGAGCCTCGAGGGGATAGCCATTCGTAGCGGCGGCGCGTAGTGCGGCGAGCAGCGGCGGCGAGAGTGCATGCGAAGGAGAAGCTGTAGAGAGAGCGAGGCGATCGGCTGGCGAAGAGGCCGAAAACGATGGCAGTCGAGCCGAGGCCGTAGCGATGAGCTCGCAGGTGCTCGGGTCGAGAACAAAGTGCGGCGGATGCTGAAGGGGAAGAGAGGCGGGAGGATGATGTGGGCACAGGGAGCATCATTGTTTGTCGTGGGAGGGGACGGGGGAGGAGGCGAGAGGAGGACGGGCTGGCGATGGACCACGACGACGATGGCAACAAGTCCGACGAGGCCTGCGACAGCGAGGCCGATTGAAGGCATGGCTGCGAGACGAGTGGTACCGGACTAGACACCACGACCACGGGGCGAACCGCGAGCACGGACGGCGCCGCGCGGAACGCCTCGGCCACGGACAGCGCCACGGGGGGCAGCACGGCCACGCACCGCACCGCGAGGGGCGGCACGGACGGCGGGGGTGCCACGCGGAGCGGCGCGGCCGCGGACGGCACCGCGTGGGGCAGCACCACGGACGACACCACGTGGAGCGGCACGGCCGCGGACGGCACCGCGTGGGGCAGCACCACGGACGACACCGCGCGGGGCGGCACGACCACGTACAGTGCCACGGACGGCACCACGCGGGGCGGCACGACCACGGACGGCGCCCCGAACGGCACCCCGCGGCGCTGCAGCACCCCGAACGGCACCGCGCGGCGCGGCAGCGCCCCGAACAGCACCGCGCGGCGCTGCAGCACCCCGAACAGCACCGCGCGGCGCTGCAGCACCCCGAACGGCACCGCGCGGCGCTGCAGCACCCCGAACGGCACCGCGCGACGCTGCAGCACCCCGAACGGCACCGCGCGGCGCTGCAGCACCCCGAACGGCACCGCGCGGCGCTGCAGCACCCCGAACAGCACCGCGCGGCGCTGCAGCACCCCGAACGGCACCGCGCGGCGCGGCGCGAACGGCAGGGGCTCCGCGGGGAGCGCCACGGACGACACCACGACCACGAACAGTGCCTCGTGGCGCTGCTGCTCCGCGCGGGGCAGCGCGGCCACGCGGAGCGCCGCGAGCAGGCACGGGCTTTGCGGCCTTGGGGACAGGCGCCGGCTTTGCGGCCTTGGGGACGGGCGCCGGCTTTGCAGCCTTGGGGACGGGCGCCGGCTTTGCAGCCTTGGGGACGGGCGCCGGCTTTGCAGCCTTGGAGATGGGCGCCGGCTTTGCAGCCTTGGAGATGGGCGCGGGCGGACCGGCACCAGCACCTCGGCCGCGAGGCGCACCACGGCCGCGGGGCACACCACGGGGGGCGCCACGGGGGGCGCCGCGGGGAGCGGCACGGCCGCGAGGAGCACCACGGGGAGCGCCGCGGGGAGCGGCACGGCCGCGAGGAGCGCCGCGGGGAGCGCCGCGGGGAGCGGCACGGCCGCGAGGAGCACCACGAGGGGCGCCACGGCCTCGCGGGGCACCGCGGCCTGACGGGACAGCCTTGGGCGGCTTTTCGACCGGCGCGGGGGCGGCGGTTTTTGCGGGAACGACCGGGTTGGGCTTTGCGGCGGCTGGAGCGGGCTTTGGCACCGGGGCCGGGGCCGGGGCCGGGGCCGGGGCCTGGGTGGGCTCCGCGGCGGGCTCTGGGGCGGGTTCTGGGGCGGCAGGCATAAAGTCCTCCTCAGAGAACATGTCGTTCATCGAGGCCTCGACCTGGGCGAGGGCATCGACGTCGGGGAGGGCCGATGTGGTCGGGTCGTCAAAGCCCGCCATGTCAAAGGCGGACATGTCGACTTCGCCGCCGTCAAAGCCGGCGAACATCTCATCGAGCTGCTCCAGGGCCGAGGCGTCGGCAGCTTGAAAGTTGGCACCGGATGACGCTGCGATGGAGGAGTCGTCGTCACGGCGATTGCGGCGCTCGCGCTTCTTCTCCTTGAGAATGTCGTCAAACTCGTCGAGCCCGGCGAGCATGTCGCCCATCATGTCGTCGACCTCGGGGATGTCGGGCGGAGCCTCGAGGATGGGCAGGCCAACAGGAGGCGCGGCGTCGTCAACAGCAGGCGCCGGCTCTGGTTCGGCTGCCCAAGGATCAGCAGGCGCGTCCCAGGCAGCGGGCTCGCCCAGCTCTTGTGCAGGCTCGTCCCAGGCCACCGGCTCTGGCGGCGGCGGGTCGTCGGGAAGTAGCATGTTGTCGGGAGGCGGGAGGGTGTCGGGCAGCGGGAGGTCGTTCGGTAGAGGGAGCTCTTCCTCGATGATTTGGACGTAGTCGATGGGGAAGACGCCGGCGGTGCCGTTGTACTCGCCGTAGTACCAGCCCTCCTGGTCGGCGACGACGTTGGTGATGATGGCGCCCTCGGGAAAGGAGAGCTCGTCGGCTTCGTCAGCTTGACACTCGTAGAGGGCCTGGACGGTAATGTGCTCAGCGTCGGCGACGGTGGCGAGGAGGTCGTCGGGCGGCGGTGGCGGGAGGTCGTCTGCGGCGGCCCACGCGCCATCGTCTACAACGGCGGCGCCTGCGGCCCATGCGTCGTCGTCTGCGCCCGTAGCCTGTTCCTCTAGCACCTGGACGTAGTCAGAGGGAAAGACACCACGCTTGCCGTCGTACGTGCCCATCCACCAGCCGTTATCGTCGCACTTGTCGACTTCGTCGATAGTGGCACCTGTTTCAGCGGGTGAAAAGGTCGAGAGCGAGTACGTGAGCGAGCCCGTGAGCGAGCAACGACCGATCCGGGCGAGAGGCGCGACATGGACGAGCCCGTGAGCGAGCAGCGACCAATCCGGGCGAAAGGCGCGACATGGACGAGTGCGTGAGCGAGCAGCGACCGATCAGGGCAAGTCGTGATGGACGAGAGCGAGGAAGAGTATGGGCACATTAGCAGGTACGTCCAGTGCGAGAAGACGAAGACGAAGACGAAGACAAGCCAGCAGCCATCCGTACATATAATGAGTGAAATGATGGGTATGGGTATGGATATGCGGTGTGTGTGTGGGGGGGGGGGAGGGGGAGGGACGAAGCAGAGCGAGTACGTGAGCGAGCCCGTGAGCGAGCAACGACCGATCCGGGCGAAAGGCGCGACATGGACGAGCCCGTGAGCGAGCAGCGACCGATCAGGGCGAGAGGCGCGACATGGACGAGTGCGTGAGCGAGCAGCGACCAATCCGGGCGAGAGGCGCGACATGGACGAGTGCGTGAGCGAGCAGCGACCGATCAGGGCAAGTCGTGATGGACGAGAGCGAGGAAGAGTATGGGCACATGAGCAGGTACGTCCAGTGCGAGAAGACGAAGACGAAGACGAAGACAAGCCAGCAGCCATCCGTACATATAATGAGTGAAATGATGGGTATGGGTATGGATATGCGGTGTGTGTGGTGGGGGGGGGGGAGGGGGAGGGAGGGGAGGGAGCGGGTCATGGCATGACTTGGTTACACCTTTGGCCACCGGCACCACCTCCACCTTCATCACCGGCCATCATCCGCAAGCCTGTAACACCCCCAATAATACAGATACAATGACCACAACCACCACATTATATACTCAAGAGCCTCTTCTATCTACACATCTACTTTTCCGCTCCTAAAACACATTCCTCCCTTCACAACAACCAAGCCTTGCAAGCATGTGCTGCGCACGGGGGCGCGGGGCGGGGGAAGGAAGGGGGGCGGCGGCAATGTCACCAATGATAATTGTTATATCAAATAATCGAAGGCTCGCCGGAAACCCTTCCCTTGCGAGACAGAAATTGGTCCCCTTTTCGGGGTTCGACAAAGGGTGACTGACAAGAGCCGCGGGGGCGGAGGCGGGGGGGGGGGGGGGGAATGATAAATTCAACGTGGTCCATTGATTAAAATCTCACCGGGCGGGGCGCTGGCAGGCCGATTATGGTCGAAGTGGCGAAGAGGGAGCAAGGGAGGGGAAGGGGGGGGGGGACAGGGAGAGCATGGGGAAGGAGAATGGAGGGTGTTTGGGTAAGGAATACGTACCCTCTGGGAAGGAAAGCTCATCATCTTCGTCTGCAATGCACTCGTACAGTGCAATGCACCGCATGGTCGTCACAGGCTGGTTGTAGAGGGGTCTGTCGCTCTGGCTGCCTCTCACTGCTGGTGGCGGAGCATTGATGGAAAGCCAGTGCCGCACGAATCGTGCAAGGTCATTCCAACTGATGACCGTCATTGCTTATCAGAACTCGTTGTGTGCAACATGTCTTGGTTCGCCCTCTATGACTATGACTCGCGGATGATCGTCATGGCTATGGTATGTTCGGTTGACTCGATCGCAATTCTTCCCCGCGCCCCACCATCACACCATCATCGTTCACACCATCTCTGCTCCTTGATACCAACCCATGACACGACACGACCCGAGTTGCCCTTCGTCCCCCAATTACCCCCCCCCCCCCCCCCCATCCACAACGAGCTTGCCAAGGTCGGTTAACAGCGTCGGCTTCCATGACCACCAAAGCGAGTATCACCCCGACAACGCCCACGACACGAACGTTGCTGGCTGCCTCACC